TGAATAACAGGACAATTGGTTATTTATTTTCTTCAAAAATTTCGACACAAGTTAACAATTCTTTGGAAAAGTGCCACATCCTTTTTCTAAATTAATTTGCATTGCCATATAATCATGAGCAATAGATTTCACTGTGTGGATAAGATAAAACAGCAGTTGATTTAATATTATCAAACATACTCTGAATAAGTTTTCTAAAATGTTTTTATGGTGTTTCTTCCCTCATTTCATGAAAATAATATGTGTTTTGTCTCATGGGGTGTCTTACATTTTGACGAAATTGTGTACTTTTTGACATATGATCTCCGTTTCCATACCAACCAGTTGACTAACTTTGATGAAACTTATGACTTTTGTAGGATATGATAAGTATATGATTACCTGTAAATATCAAAATGATTGGTTGTAAATTCTAGGAATTTTACATGGCCTTCCTAGTATCCCCCTCAAAATCAAACAAGGGGAGTATAAATCTGAATATTTCCAAAATGCTGAAAAACTAAACACCAGTATTTTCAGAATCAATGTAAAATCATAAACTACAAAATACCTACATAAAGAGAAATTTGCTATTTTTCAAAACCACTTTTACACCACGCTCATCCAGTATTACAACATGAAACCACTGATGGTTCATTGGTAGAATGCTAACCTGTCATCCAGCTGGCCATGGGTCGATTCATGGACAGTGCAATGTTTTTCATTTAAATACTGATATGAAGATAATTTACAATTTTTATGAATTATTTTTTTTAGGGACAACATGAAAGCACTGATGGTTCAGTGGAACAATGCTCGCCTGTCATGCAGATGGTAGTGGTTCGAATTCTTGTCAGCGCAATGTTTTTCATTTATATACTGATATGAAGGGAAACTACATCTTTTATGAATAATATTTTAGGGACAACATGAAAGCACTGATGGTTCAGTGGTAGAATGATCGCCTGTCATCCTGCTGGCAGTGGATCAATTCCTGGTCAGTGCAATGTTTTGCATTTAAATACTTATATGAGGAGAAACTACATCTTTTATGAATTATACTTTACTTACAACATGACAGCACTGATGGTTCAGTGGTAGAATGCTCGCCTGTCATCCAGCTGGCCATGGTTCAATTCCTGGTCAGTGCAATATTTTTCATATAAATACTTATATGAAGAGAAATTACTGTTTTTATGAATTGTACTTTAGTAACAACACGAAAGCATTGATGGTTCAGTGGTAGAATGCTCGCCTGTCATCCAGTTGGCCATGGTTCAATTCCTGGTCAGTGCTATGTTTTGCTGATGGTTCAGTGGTAGAATGCTCGCCTGTCATCAATCTGGCCATGGTTCAATTCCTGGTCACTGCAATATTTTTCATTTAAATACTTATATGAAGAGATATTACTATTTTTATGAATTGTACTTTAGTAACAACATGAAAGCACTGATGGTTCAGTGGTAGAATGCTCGCCTTCATCCAGCTGGCCATGGGTCGATTCCTGCTGGTCAGTGCAATGTTTTTCATTTAAATACTGATATGAAGAGAAATTACAATTTTTATGAATAATATTTTATGGACAACATGAAAGCACTGATGGTTCAGTGGTAGAATGCTCGCCTGTCATTCACCTGGTAGTGGTTCCAATTCTTGTAAGCGCAATGTTTTTCATTTATATACTGATATGAAGGGAAACTACATCTTTTATGAATAATATTTCAGTGCAATGTTTTTCATTTAAATACTGATATGAAGAGAAACTACATATTTTATGAATTATACTTTACTTGCAACATGAAAGCACTGAGGGTGTAGTGGTAGAATGCTCGCCTGTCATCCAGCTGGCCATGGTTCAATTCCTGGTCAGTGCAATCTTTTTCATTTAAATACTGATATGAAGAGAAATTACTATTTTTATGTATTGTACTTTACTTACAACATGAAAGCACTGATGGTTCAGAGGTAGAATGCTAACCTGTCATCCAACTGGCAGTGGTTCGATTCCCAGTCAGTGCAATGTTTTTCATTTAAATACTGATATGAAGAGAAACTACATCTTTTATGAATTATACTTCACTTACAACATGAAAGCACTGATGGTTCAGTTGTAGAATGCTCGCCTGTCATCCAGTTGGCCATGGGTCGATTCCTGGTCAGTGTAATGTTTTTCATTTAAATACTCATATTAAGAGAAACTACATTTTTATGAATTATACTTTACTTACAACATGAAAGCACTGATGGTTAAGTGGTAGAATGCTCGCCTGTCATCCAGCTGGCCATGGGTCGATTCCTGCTTGTCGGTGCAATGTTTTTCATTTAAATACTGATATGAAGAGAAATTACAAATTTTATGAATAATATTTTAGGCACGACATACGAATGCTCGCCTGTCATCCACCTGGTAATGGTTCGAATTCTTGTCAGCGCTATGTTTTTCATTTAAATTCTGATATGAAGAGAAACTACATCTTTTATGAATTATACTTTACTTGCAACATGAAAGCACTGAGGGTGTAGTGGTAGAATGTTCGCCTGTCATCCAGCTGACCATGGTTCAATTCCTGGTCAGTGCAATCTTTTTCATTTAAATACTTATATGAAGAGAAACTACATCTTTTATGAATTATACTTTACTTGCAACATGAAAGCACTGAGGGTGAAGTGGTAGAATGCTCGCCTGTCATCCAGCTGGCCATGGTTCAATTCCTGGTCAGTGCAATCTTTTTCATTTAAATACTTATATGAAGAGAAATTACTATTTTATGAATTGTACTTTACTTACAACATGAAAGCACTGATGGTTCAGTGGTAGAATGCTCGACTGTCATCTAGCTGGCCATGGTTCGATTCCTGGTCAGTTCAATGTTTTTCATTTAAATACTTATATGAAAAGAAATTACTAGTTTTATGCATTATATTTTACAGTATGGAAGCACTGATGGTTCAGTGGGAGACTGCTAACCTGTCATCCAGCTGGCCATGGGTCGATTCCTGGTCAATGCAATGTTTCTCATTTAAAGGTGCAATAATTAGTGTAGAGGGGTCATTCAACGATCATTGACCAGTGTCAAAATATATTTAAGCTTGGATATTTCATCAAGACTAACATATCTATTTTTATTATCTACAAAGAAACCCCCTAGATAAACATTATTTTAGCTGATATTCCTCTTGAAACATGGTGGATCTTAAATATATAAAAGTGGAAGTCCCCTTTTTGAAGCTTTGAACTGAATTCACACTTCTTCATGCTGAAATTGATAATTTATCCATACATTTTAAGAAAATAGGTATGTCAAAGAAGATGTTAAACCAAATGTTGCCTTGGTAGCTCAGAAAAAATGAAAAAACTTTCCTATTTTCTCTATAGTCCTTATTGCCCCTTTAAATACTTATATGAAGAGAAATTACATATTTTATGAATCATACTTTAGTTACAACATGAAAGCATGGATGGTTCAGTGGTAGAATGCTAACCTGTCATCCAGCTTGCCATGGGTCGATTCCTGGTCAGCGCAAGGTTTTTAATTTAAATACTGATATGAAGAGAAATTATATTTATAATGAATTATATTTTACATACAACATGAAAGCACTGATGGTTCAGTGGTAGAATGCTCGCCTGTCATCCAGCTGGCCATGGTTCGACTGTGGTCAGTTCAATGTTTTTCATTCTAATACTTATATGAAGAGAAATTACTAGTTTTATGCATTATATTTTACAGTATGGAAGCACTGATGGTTCAGTGGTAGAATGCTAACCTGTCATCAAGCTGGCCGTGGTTCGATTCCTGGTCAGTGCAATGTTTTTCATTTAAATACTGATATGAAGAGAAACAACATCTTTTATGAATTATACTTTACTTACAACATGAAAGCACTGATGGTGTAGTGGTAGAATGCTAACCTGTCACCAGCTTGCCATGGGTCGATTCCTGGTCAGAGCAAGGTTTTTCATTTAAATACTAATAAGAAGAAAAATTACAATTTTTATGAATTATATTTTAGGGACACCATGAAAGAACTGATGGTTCAGTGGAAGAATGCTAACCTGTCATCCAGCTAGCCATGGGTCGATTCCTGGTCGGTGCAATATTTTTCATTTAAATACTTATATGAAGAGAAATTACTACTTCAATGAATTGTACTTTACTTCTAACATGAAAGCACTGATGGTTCAGTGGTAGAATGCTAACCTTTCATCCAGCTGGCAGTGGTTCGATTCCTGGTCAGTGCAATGTTTTTTATTTAAATACTGATATGAAGAGAAACTACATCTTTTATGAATTATACTTTACTTACAACATGAAATCACTGATGGTGTAGTGGTAGAATGCAAACCTGTCATCCAGCCTGCCATGGGTCGATTCCTGGTCAGCGCAAGGTTTTTTATTTTGTTCATAAAGTTCTTGCAAAAGTACTCTAATTTTTTTATTTCTCAGTTAATCTATCTGAAATTCGCACTCACTATACCTACACTATTCGTACATTAGAATCCTAAATTATAATGAATAGGTCCTTGAAGAAAAAAAGTTATGATTGCTATAGTAACACTAGTCGGTAGGCAGAGCAGCATTGAAAAAAAGAAAAATTTAGACAAAAGATATGGGTTAGAGGTAACTTTAACATACTTTAAAGTATCCTCGAAAATAAAAAACTAGCTAATGTTGACATTTCAGCACTAGATGATGCCTATGATGACATTATAGTTGAAATTTCTTTGATTCATGACATCACCGATGGCATCATAGTGACATATGTTGGTTGATGACATCGGACTTTGTGAAAGGCAGCGTCAACTTTATTTTTGTGAAAATGGCAGCAAAATTAGCAAAAAATGATGATTTACAATTACAAATATTCAGTAGCATCAGGATGTATGTTTTACTGGGAAATACAAGAAAACAAACTCTTGATGATATTCATAGGTGTATGGGAAGGAGGCTATGGCCAAAAAACCATTTGACTAAGACATTAACTGATGGTAGAACAAATGGTAATGACAATGCTAAGGACAGGCCGTCCAAGAACAAATCCAGTGAGGATCAGATGACGTTGATAAACGCCATCCATACAAAGATCAATCGCAGGAAACTTTCCAAATTAGTCCCGCCATCTGTTTGAGGAATGGTTAGTAAGACAGCAGAGGAAATGGAAATAAGTTCATTCCGTGCAAAGGTGTATCATCGGGGTCAAACAGATAGCCCTGTTGGGAATTCTGAAGCATACTGTACAAAATGTAAATCCAGGGGTCATCTCAAACCTAACTGCATAGTGGGATGGCGAATTTAATAGGGCACCAACGTAAGGACTGCCCTGATAGTTTGAAGGAGGACAATTCCATTGAGGCAGCTTGGCTTAAAGAGGCAATGGATACTTCCAGCATACCACAGCCCTCCAAGCCTCCGCCTTCAAATATTGATCCCTCACCATCTAACACAGAGGAGACCCAGGCAAAGCCCTTATCTACAAAACAGCCAGCAAAATCACAACTACCTGCACAACAACTGGAAACCAAGAAACAAAACAACACAAAGTCAAAGAAAGACGACAAAACAAAAGAAACAACACAATCAACACCCCAGAGTACAAGTTCTCGCACATCTGTGGTGCAGAGATCACCCCCTACACCAGCAGAGGAACTTAACCTTAAATCAAAAGTGCATCATGGAGATGATCAACCACCTTAAATTTTTGATCATCATGATTTTTATCAACATGTGTGGATAATGTTTTTTAAATAAAATTAACAACAAAAAACAAATAAAAAATGACTACTAACAAACCTGAGCTTAATATTCTCTCTTTAAATGCCAATGGCTTGAGAGACGCTACAAAGCGAAAAACTTTATTTCACTGGGCCAATCAACAGCATTGCTCAATCTTATTTCTTCAAGAGACTCATTTTACTTTAGATTTAGTTCCCACAATTGAAAATGAATGGAGTGGACATTCTATTTTACACTCATTTAAGGACAATAAATCATGTGGTATTAGTATATTTATTAAAAATGGTGCTCAATTAGAGGTTATAGATGCATTTTCATTTCATGATGGAAGAGTCATTTTGACTAATATTGAAATTTCAAAAGAAATTTTCACTCTTATAAATGTATATGCCTCAAATGGGGAAAAAGACCGCAATTTATTTTTAACTAAACTTGACAAAGTTATTAATGAACATGCACTTGGTGAAATAATCATAGGTGGTGATTTTAATACAGTTGTCAATCCCGAAATGGATAGACAAAGTCTTAAAAAACTACCTAACTCAGTTATCAAAAATAACAAAATTCATAAATTAATGAAAAACAACAATTTAAAGGATGTATGGAGAGATTTACATCCTCATCTAAAACATTTTACATATAGACAAAAACTCCTTTTATGAAAAGTAGATTAGACATGTTTTTGATATCTGATTCTTTTATGTCACAAGTTAAATTATGTGATATCAGACCTAGCTATAAAAGTGACCACCAGGCAATATGCTTAAAACTGTCATCTTGCCCTGCTAAGGGTAGTGGTATTTGGAAACTAAACAATAGTCTACTTAAAGACAATAATTTCAAATTCTTGATAACTAATATATTTTCTCAGCCAGATGTTTCTCTTGACTGTGGAGATCAATGGGAGTTATTTAAGGTAAAAATAAGGGAGGAATCTATCAAGTATGCTAAGCATAAAGCAAAAACACGTAAAAAACTGAAACAATTTTTACTTAATAAGATTAGTAATTGTAATGATAATGATATATATCAACTTCGTTATAATACTTTACTTGAGTATGAAGCGAAAGCTGCCCAAATACGGTCACGTGTACAGTGGATAGAGGAAGGTGAACGTAACACAAATTTTTTTCTTGGCCTTGAAAAACACCAACAGAAGAATCAAACAATATATAATTTAAAACGTCCCAATGGAACTGTAGTCAGTAATCAGAATGAAATATTACAAATGCAGGAGAATTTCTATAAAACCCTTTATACTTCAAAAAATATACAAAAGGATAAAATCAAAAATTATTTAGACAATACTAATATTAAACGAGCATTAACTAAAGAGGAAGCAGATCTCTGTGAAGGAGAGCTTACTTATGATGAAGCAAAAAATTCTATTTTTAGCATGAAGCTTAATAAATCTCCAGGGCAAGATGGATTAACTGTCGAATTCTATCAAACATTTTGGCCATTAATTGGTAAAATGGTAACTGATGTTTTAAATTATGGTTACAGTAAAGGACAATTAATTTTCTCTCAGAGATTAGGCATTATAAAGTTGTGACATAAGAAAAATGATAACCAAATATTAAGTAACTGGAGACCCTTAACCATGCTTAATGTAGATTACAAATTATGTGCCCACATTTTAGCTCAGAGACTTCATAAAATATTACCACTTATTATAAATCAAGATCAACAGGGCTATATTAAAGGAAGATTTATTGGATATAATATAAGGCTAATAAATGACGTAATCAATTATGCTAATAAATATAGAAAAACATTAGATTCTGCTATTATTTTTGCAGATTTTTCAAAATGTTTTGATTGTTTGGAAGTTGACTTCACTCTAGAAGCATTAAAGAAATTTAATTTTGGCACTAGTTTTATCCAGTGGATTAAAACCTTGTATAATGGAATACAAAGCTGTGTAGCTAATAATGGTTACTTATCACCATATTTTGATGTATCTCGGGGCATTCGGCAGGGATGTCCCATTTCTGCTTTGATTTATCTCATTGCAGCAGAAACAATGGCAATCAATATTAGAAATAATTCTAGAATCAAAGGTATTAAAGTAAGAAACAAAGAAGTCAAAATATGTCAACTTGCAGATGACACCACTCTCTTTGTTCATGGAAAAAACTCTATTAATATAGCTATTAAAGAAATACAGCGTTTCGGAACTGTTTCTGGTTTAGAGCTTAACTTAGAAAAAACAGAAGGTATAAAACTTGGTAACTTTAAAAATGATAATAATACTACATTTTGTAATATTTCCTGGAAACAGGAAGTAAAATCATTAGGTGTCTTCTTTGGAATAGATCAAACTAAATTGCATGATCTTAATTGGAATAGCATAGCAGATAAAATGAGAAAGTCATTGTCTTTGTGGAAAAAACGCAAGATTACTCTTTATGGGAAAATAGTTATCATTAAAACACTTGCATTATCTAAACTGATGTATTTAGCAAAAAGCATTGACACACCAAATGAAACTTTTTTGAAAGAAATTACTTCAGAACTTTATTCATTTTTGTGGGATGGAAAAAGAGATAAAATTAAAAGATCTGTCTTAATTAATACTTTGTCTAAAGGTGGACTCTCAATGCCTTACTTAAAATCTAAATTCAGGGCCTTTAAAATTAAATGGATATTAGACATTGAGTATGGGAATAAACATGCAAGTTGGAATATTCTAGCAAGAGAGATATTAAGTAAAACTGGACTCCCAGATACTTTGATATTTAAATCTACTTATGGAAAACCAGAGAATATTTGTAATTCTAATAACTTGCCTCAATTTTACAAAGATTTACTCCATGCTTGGAGTATTCTTGGAGGCTCAGAAATTGATAACATAACATTTGCAGAAATTAGACAAATGGTGATATGGCACAATAAAGACATAACTTTCAATAACAAGTGTTTGTATTTTGAAAACTGGATAAATTCAAATATATTATATGTTAATGATCTTATGTGTACCCAAGATGAAATTCTTCATAAGCTTAAATCTAGGGTCAATTGGATGGCAGAATATATAACTGTTAAGCAATCTTTGCCATTTCAATATAGAGTTAAAATATTTGGTGAGGCAAGCAGATGTACATATGTTAATACAAATGTAAGTTTAAGATTTTATGACAGTAAATTGAAGCATTATAGATTTTTGGATAAACATGCAAGTTCTAGAGACATATATTCAATCTTGTTGGAACATATAGCAACTAAAACATATTTGGAATCATTTTGGATTAATCTTTGTGAAATTCAAAATAGTCAAATGCTGTTTCAACAGACTTGGATACTTTTAAAGCAATCCAAAAATAAAAAAGTGGCCAGTTTTAAATACAAACTTTTACATTATATTTTACCATGCAAACAATTACTTCTAAGATGGAAAATAAGTGTTAACGACAAGTGTGATATTTGCGGACAAGTAGAAGACTATAAACATTTGTTCTTTCAATGTCATAGAGTACTTAATGTAATAGACCAACTTGAAAATTATATTTTAGATCATTTTAAAATTGAATTAAGCTTGAAAAAGTATAAAACTCTTGTCTTTGGCTATAAGGTACAAGACACTAACTATACTTATTTTAATGAATGGTTAAACAACTTATGGTACCCCTTAAGAAAAAAGCCATGGTAACCATGGTATTCCATGGTGCGCCCATGGTAATCCATGGTTTTCCATGGAAATTCATGGTTTTCCATGTTATTTTCCATGGAAATTCATTGAACGCCCATGGTAATCTTCCATGGATATTTACCATGATTTTCCGTGGTAATTGTTGGTTTGGTAATTGGTTTTTAATGGATGTGTCATGGAGATGTAAAATCAACAATTTTGGTAGGATTTGTATTTACCAAAATCTCCAAAATGAATGTTTTGATGATATATCCCAGTTAGACTGAGACTTATCATTGAGAAAAAAGGGTGGACATTTCATTTTGAAGGTATAGCAAGAACATTCATCGAATGTTAGACTCAGCTTACAAATGAGAAAATATGTGAAACAGCAGAGCAGAGAGAAGGCCACAAGATTTCAAAAACAATTGTGCAAGGGTCTTTTGTGTAGATCAAGACTAGATAGATTTTCAGTTTTAAAAATCAATATGAAGTAATTTAAGAAATAAATAACTCATTTTCTTAAATTACATTTCATACATTTGAGAATACAATCAAAAACCATGGTTTCTTTCTTTGAAGTTGGAAAACTGCAATCAAAAGCCATGGAAGACGGTTGATTGCAATCGAAAGCCATGCTTTTCCATGCTTATTTCTTTGATGTTTTGGAAAGTGCAATCAAAAGCCATGGTTTTCCATGATTATTCTTTTGATCTTTTGAAAGTCCATGGTTTTCCATGGGCTATTTGTTTGGTCTTTTGGAAGCAGAAAAATGAATAATACATTATGTTTCTAAATGAACTTCTCCAAATTAAGTCCCATTCAACTTTTATAAGCATATTATCTGAAAAAATCCACAGAAAAGTATATACTTTTACAGAATTTTGACTTGAAATTGAGATGGGGGATTAAACACAAGCCTATGGCTGCAAACTGAAATGTTATACCTAAGTGATAAAAATTCAATTTGTCTATGTAAGAATATTATATTTAAAAAGAAGTTGCATGAAGGAAGGGGAGGGGGTTAACAATATAGTGTGTGCCAAAACTCCAGAAAATCACAAAAACCTATGTTGTGGTAGCTTACTATGAAGTGACCCATTATCATTATAGATTGGTCCATCAACTATTCATTTTTACTTGTCTGCACTCAAAAAGGTGACACGAAAGGGCTAAACGGCTTGCACCAAGGTGCAACCATCAAAAAGATGAGTTCGATAAAAATTATTTTTTTCAAATAATAGCAATGGGTATACAATATAGGAGGCAAATTTGATATTGATAAGTATGATAGTCCATTTGCGTGTGGCCATTTTTATAAAAAACAATAATTGTGAAGAATTATATATTTCTGACCTGAAAATACCATCTTAATTCAAAAGTCATGGTTGTTAATGATAATATTCCTATTTCACCTATTCAATGTTTTCAAAATATTTTAATTACCATTATATTCATTTTTTGACAAAGTAAATAAATATAGGGCTCACACAAGGATCAACTTTATTTGCAATATTTTCATATTTTGTGATGT